GCATGCAAATAGAACAAAATAAAAAAAATTTCCAGTATCGACATAGTCAATACTGCCCTTATCAACATTAGAACCTGGCAAGGGAAAATAGCACTCGTTGCTTGTTTTGAAGGTTCGAGCTTTGCCGCACAGAATCCATGTCGGGCAGCCGATGTAGCAAAACGTCTCAGGATATATAACATGTTATACAAAATAACCCCTAACACCACAGTGACGTAGATAGGCCGACAATTCAGGCAATCGAGAGGGCTTGTACAGGCATTTCACAGAGATGTTATCTTCACTTCGATATAGCACTGGACCAACAAAAGCGTGACATCCATACCAAAGTTTCTAAACGAATGTTCTGATGGTTTAACACTGGACCTCTGGAGAGAAAGAATATGAAAGAGTGGAAAAAATGAGTGGTGCCCCAAGGTATCTTTTGCAGTGGATTTGCAGTGGAAACAATGCTTATAAAGTATTTCTCTTACCGTAGTTCTCCCTTTCCGGATGCGTACGCTTCGCTGTAATACTGTAAAGGCATGGTTGGCCCAACTGTGTTTATTATTTTGATGAATACTAAGATGAAAAGCCTGGTGACATAATATTGAGAATCGAGAGTTATTACAGCAATTGGTTCAAAGAACCTTATATATATTCAAAGAAATTTACGCTCGATATTGACCACGAACTGTTCTGTAATTATAGTGCGTTATGAAGTAATAGTGCACCGCACCGATCATTAGCGTGAGCAATTCCAAAGGAGAATGAAAGACTGACTTAATGGATTCCGTCCTAATTTTGACATCAGAGACATTTTGCGGAGCTATCATCACTATGGCGACGTTACACTATATAAGCCGTTGTGTAATAAGATGAAGAAGCATCGGTAAACTTACGGAAACCACATACGTAAACTGAGTTACTGTCGACAACTAGTGCTCTAGGAAGTGTCAAGGAAATTGGTTAAGTATGAATCAATTGTTGCCACTGAGCACTTTTGTCTGGGGTCAAAGCATAGAGAGCTCAGATTTCTAAAGTGACTTGAGGCAAAATTTTCCAATTGAACGGTACTAAAGAAATGATCCCACGGCAAAATATTTTGATACTTTCCTTTAAACCAGGCTCATTTTACCGAGCAGTTTAGTGGGAAAAGAACACCTGTCCGCTGTAGTGTAGGCATGGCAGACCTAAGAATTTTTGGACTCCTGATTTCTCTTTGCTTTCACATACATCGAAGTTATTAATGAGTTCACTGCAATAAATATACTCGTGGTATTGTCGTATAAGCAAAGCACTGTGCAGAAGCTGAAGCAATGCAACAGAACCCCATCGAGAACCTGCCTCCTACGCCAGTCGAGAAAGTTGATTCTGCCACACAACAGCGTGTGCCCTCATAGTTCACATACGATAACTCAAATGATGAACAGGCGGAGTAAAGAGCTATTGCTATTAGCTCTGACAGCTCTATGGCCAGTGGCATTTGAACATCTAGACATTCGCCAAATTAGTTTCAACAGTTATGCAGGATCAGGGTATATCAAGTTTTACATAAACGGAACATCTACGGTATAAACCCATCGCCAAAAATGTACTGGACGTAGTCACCCATACTGTCACTGTTAAAGCGAAATTTTAGAAGTGATAAAGCTATTCGTCTAAAACGGCCATTACATGTCACATACATAAAGTGTTTAAAAAAAGATAACGATGAAAACAGTGAAATTCTAAATGAAACACCTGGCAGCAGTAATAAGGGTGTGGTAAGTAGCCGTCACACAGACGTAACCGCTGTATGCAATCCAAACATAATCCGTTTGAGAAATCACGGCAAGAACAATGGTAATCAACAAGGAAGAAAGAGTTAAAACAAGTTCTCCATACTGAACCCAGTCTATGACAGCAAACTGCACAAAAAAAGATAGCACAGCGCCTGAAAATATTAAGCCGAACTCAAATAAAGTTCAAATTCGAGATATGTTGAAGTGTCTCCAAATATTCCAAGTTTATATGTATATATCATATATATGTGCATATATATATGTATACAGTTACTTGCTTCAAGTATATATATATATATACACACAATATAGCAGGAACCATTACTGGACTAAAGAACAAATTGTACGACGCACCTGCGACAGTACTTATAACCTCTACCAGACCATTTTCTACATCGGTCGGATCCGGTTGCATCTCAATCCAAAGGGATTGTATATAATTGTACACCTAAACGAAAATTATTAACAAAAAGAATGATAGCCTATTTTGGAGCTTCACATCGACTTCCCCCTATCACTCTTTCGTCCTCTGCTTGTAATTCCTGCAAGATGATTTATTTGACCAAGAAAGAGAATAAAAACCGAAAAAGTGAAAATGTTCTACGATGGTTGAGGCGTAAGGACAAAATAAGGTGGTAAGAAGCAAACTGTCTTGCGGAACTGAGCACCTGGAAAATTCCACAGCTTGTGAGAGCCCACCACAAAGACCATTTAAGTACCACCATATTATTCTTGAATATCTTGAAGCTCTCAAGTACATTGACGATATAATTCCGCATGCCCCATCTCGGTTTATTATGAAGATCCTCGTTGAACCTAAAGAAAATGGCTGATTTAGCGATGTGGAGACCATAGTACAGAAATATTTGGAAAAGTTACGTTGCCCTTTGTTCTTGAACTCGCTCATCCAATGTCTTACTTTCCAAAGACTCACTTTGAGCCTCGCACTGACCAGAACGTGATTTAGCCGGAGGCAGTGCTAGAGCGATGAAGAAAACACAAACAACAGCCACTAATGATATCTAAAAAACACATATATTATGCCACAATAAGTACTGAGAATAGGATTCTACCTATGCTGCTACGTGGTTACCTACACATTTCAGTGGTAACCGAAGAAATTCCACATTATTACAAAGTCCATGAAGCTACGAAACAGTGGAAAAGTGTTGAAAAAAGTAATACGCACGTTAAATTTGCTATAGCATTTCAAGGAGATCGAATGAACCAATACCACGTCTTCACACCTGATTCAGTGTCAGATATGTAGCAGTTCTGGTGGAAATGAGGACTTGGGCCAAGCTATACGCCAACAATTTCCCTGTAAGAGCAGCACTACGAACGAATGACGTCACACGGCGATAGTTCTTCTCATTTACAATCGCATACAGATATGAGTAGTATGCAACTTCTGCAGCTGAAGCAAAACCTGAAAAGAAAAGAAAATGAATGACAGGCTGCGTCCGTCCTCTGCTGGGGTGCTAATCCTCGACTATTTTTCGAACACGACAAACAAAACTCGTAGAATAAGAGACAAATGACGTCACGCCATCGTTTGATTATCTGCAGACAACCACCTAATGATGAGTCCATAAAAGCAACCTGAATTCAAAAAAAGAGATGCTCTACAGCATCAACGCACCGAAGGCAATTTGCATGAGCCGCATTTCCACTATGCCTTTGCCCCACACAAGAAGAATCCAGGTTAACGAAAGACACGTCCCCTCAAGGACAATTACTGGCTTGTACCGAAGAATGTCTGTCAGAAAGAACACAGGCACCTGCAAACACACGGTAGATAACCATATTTTAAGCGCCTCAAAATGTAGCAGAGTTTGTAATCTCAGTCGAATGGCACTTACCCACATGAAGACCACACATTTCATACTTTGGAGAAAAAAAAAGGTAGAGAGGTCACTAACTAAATCAAAAGAATTGTACCCAAAACTCAACTACCCGACAATTAGCATGTTCTTACTTGACAAGTAACGTTTGTATAATCTTAAGATGAGCTAACTGACTGATATGTAGCAAACGCAAATACAACTAGCGTTGTAATGATGACAGACTTGAGTGAAATGGGAACGCTCTGAGTGGTCGTGTACTTTGCGCAGCTAAGCTAAAGTATGGACGCCTCACCAAAAATATCATGTAGGAGTAGGTCCAAAACGGAAAGATCATCCCGTAGACTTCATCCAGAGTGAAGTTCTTATAGGGTGAAACCAAATATGGTGTAAGAAAAGGTGTAGCCGGTCGAAATTCCTTTGTGATTCCATAAACACAAAGTAGAACTGTCGTAGTCTTCCAATGCATAGCAACAATCGAATAGACGTTGGGATAAAATCAGAATCCGATGAGGCGAAAGCCTGAAAGAGGTTAATGTTTAAGATGGCACGGATACGAAATTGCAAACATCTTTGTAAACGCTAAGTCGATACCTACATAAGTTAAATATGGCACACTCAAAAAAAACCATCCTTCAGTATCGAATTTTCCTTGTAAATTGCGACTTTCAGTGAAATTTTCCCGAAGCCATACAAAACAGCCTTCTCACTATGACTACGTTGGAAGGTGGAATGACTTTGTTGCAGAGACAAATTATTTAGTTAAGGTAGCAATTTAGAAGAATCGACGAAGAGACAAGTCGCTGCTTAACCTTTCGCAGATAACTCCGCTGCTCATTGCCGAGTGACTTCGGGACATGGAACTAGCCGTCGATCGTGAATGTGAGTATCACTCCTACGACTCTTAAACCTCTTATTCACCTAGCAAGTCATGTGAGCATTGCTGGGATCTTATTAATTCGACCAACAAAGTGGTTCAGTGAGCTCAGCTCAACGGAAGTGAACAGTATTGCCTTTTGGAACAAGGCCCTTCGTTTTTCCAATTTAGACCAAAAAACAACATTGGACAGCTCACCTACTCTCTCCTGCTAGCATAAGTCAACCTTTAGCTGGGTTTCTGGATGAAAATCCCGGACTATTCAGATTTATACAGCTTGATGCAGATGAACTTGCTGCCATACGTCACCATTCGACACCACCGAACGTCTCTCAAGTTCCGATCATCTGGGCGATGTTGCGGCGAGCAGGTGGACGACGACGAGTGGATGCGAAATGAAAGCTGGCTGAATACATTTGTTTCATTTGATAGTGTAGGAAATTTTATAGTGGGGAAATTTAACAAAGGATGAGGAACGAAAAACACCGACTTCCAACTGCACTAGCGATCTTGGAAAACCACAACAGCTCTCGCAGTATAAATGATGTACTGATACCCAGTCGAACACCACAAAATCCGGCAAGAAAAATCCAAAATGTCTGCCGTCACTGCTTTTCAACCAAATTAGTTAGTAACTTAATTGATTTTCAACATCTGCAAAACAGATGACGTCACGCGAAAACACTGAGACTTACCTATAGAACGACTATTTCTCGCAACGAGTACAAACCCATAAAAGCCTTCAGTCTTTAAAAATAAGTACATAACTGTAAGGATCAACGATGACCTTCTCGAACGTACGTCTAGAAACGCAATGACCAAATAGTCAATTACTTCGGCATTCCCTAGCCAAAGAAACGGTCTAGTAGCTCTCATAAATCCTCCTCTATCAATATATGGAGTAAATACAAGTAACACAGTACAAATTTTCTACTTTACAACAATGCATGGACCAGCATTATGGGTGAACGTCACTAAAGAAGATCAATACAACAGAGAAACGCACAGGTGTCCAACCTCCCTTCTCACCTCGAAGTCGAGGTTTAAAGAAAAAAAAAAGAAAAGAAAAAAAAATCGAACATGGTGGCGCCCTATGTTAACAACAGGACGGAATGGAGCCGTGCTTCCTGAATATAGTGCGAGCCTCGACGACTTTCTATGGGTTGCTGGAACTTACTAGTTGTTACGCAGCAAAACCCCCACAGTTAATGACAATTTTAGGTAACAACGAAGAATTTTCGACTTAACGCACTTCGATACGTCACAGCCGAAATGCTTAACAATTCTAAACAGCATAGAAACATCATTAATTGGTAAGGATATTTTGAAAACAAGTAAACAACCCTTCCCTTAGTCACTTTCGAGGAGGCTACCCGCTTACGCAATATTGCACAAATCGTGTTTTAAATACCGTAACTGTGGCCGGATAGCTCTGGTGTGGGATGAGGGTCAGCTCTTGCCATGGGTTCCTTTCTTCTAAGGAAATTGTTAAGATCTGTTTCATACCACTTCTGAGTTTCCGGAAAACTCCGGAAAGTGAAATAATTGCTTGTATCTGTCAGATGGGCACCATTCTGGGTGGCTATGATCGGGTTCGAAGTAGGAAGGAAACTCGTGCCCGCTCACCAGAATACCAATGAAACGGAGACTGTGATAGGATTCGTACGACTGTTCGTGGAAGCAACTCATTTCGATGTCAGTTAGGTGAGGATCTATCAAGTATTATTGGTTTTCCTGCTGTTATTTTCATTGACGTAGGAGCAAAACGAATCGGTTCTGTGTAAATCTGAGGTTTCTATTAAGCAGAAAGAGCCTGCTATGGTACAAACTCCTCCCATTTCGGATTTAACGTCCGAGAAAGTGAACTGGTTGCTTTTTCATGAGTTTTCGGGTTTTGGTTCTCGGTGAACGGCCACTGTGAAGCAGTTGATGAGATGAATTCCTCAAAGGGATGTCCGATCATTGGACGAAGGCGCTTGCGAACTTGGGATTCCACAACTTCGACACTCGTGGTTTCGCCGTTCGAAGAAAAACCTGCTTGCCATTTCAACTCTGAGTGTCGGTTACCGTCGTCAGCCGCAGTTTTGATGTGCAGCTGAAATATCCAGAAATTTGAATGCTCAGTTCAACTTGCTAGTCTGGATTTTTTTCGGATTTGGCTGTTGAAGTGTTCATTACGCTGAAGCGTCACATGAATTCTTGAGATATTCGTCCATGGATCCTGATAATGTCCTGTATTTCAGGATGCTGTGCGAAGTTAGCCGGTGCGTGGACTGGGTACTCGTGGGAGGTTGCTGGACCCGCGTTTCTGTCATGGGTACGGATCCCTCGAGGGAAACTCTTCGTGAGATCAGAAACAACATCGGTAATCGTGTGGTCATTTTGATGATACCTGGTGAGATTCGTTACCTGTAGCATTGTTTTTCGTTTTGTTAACTTTACCTTTGTATGAATGTTTAGGGAATCCTGGTAATGATGGATTCTATGCTGATTTCGGCCAAAAGCTCTTGAGGTGTCTGTTATTGAGAGATGAACGTGTGGGTTGTCCTAAACGTCACTATCTGTTCTATACGGTGTCCCATCTCAATCATGTAGTTTTACCGGACGAATTGAGGAGTTCTGGGAAGCACAGTCACTGTGGTGTGTTGTAGTTCGTTAAACTATTGTGATTCCCTTTTCCATAATGGGGCTGTCTTCCTCTTAATGTTGTTAACTCGGCTTCCGCAAGATCAGAAGTTCTCAAAAGCCATGCTTTCTCTCTGTAACTATTTGGAGCTTTACCTTGACGATCATTGTTTATCCTTCCTTCCCAACTTCCTCTCAGTGGCTCTGTTAATCCCTCACATTATCATGGTGTGGAAGAGATTTCACTATCCACTGATCTTCCTCTTCCGTCCTCCCTCTGCGGTTTTCTCTTTTCGCTGTTTACATCTACTTCACGTTACTCTTGTGGTTTATTCTGAATTCCTTATCCTGGATATGAATTTCGACTTTTTCTCACAACCCGTTTCTCCTCGATTTCATTAATGTTCTGGCTTTAGTTTCATGTATTTTCGATTTCTCAGACTTCGTTATCCATTCTTTCGCCTTCAGACCGCTTTAAACTCGACGATCAAGTGCAACACAAACTCCACTTCGTACGGGAACATTTGCCGAGGGCTCAAAAGGTGTACGTTCTCGGACACAGCATAGGTGCATACATGATGCTTAGGTATTCGTTTGCATTTCATGCTTCATTCTAGTTCTTCGTGGTAGACTGAACATAATGCTGAAGCGTTACCTCAAACTTTACCGCTTTTAGTGGAACTTTTGATAGATGAGCTTTGTATGTTTAGCTTTCGCTATCCATTTTTACTCTAACATGACATGCTTGGATGCTTAGATGGCCCGTCCTCACTGGTTGTGCGGGCCCACTATAATCTCCGTTTTTTCGGAACTTCGTTGATTGTAGTTCCCTGGAGTCCTGAGGTCAGCCTAGCCAAAGCCTGCTCCAGATCGTCACCACCACAGCATTCGCAGCTCTTGTCGATCAGAGGAAGATTTGCTACCATGCGACTAGTTTGATCCCAGGACGTTGGCGCATCCTGGTACTGGTTTACTCTTATCTGGGTTTTCTAATGGAAACGCCGGACTTCTTCTCAGCTTAGGAGACCATGCTGGCTGGATGAATCCCCTGCTGTATATCGCAGCCCGACACCCAAGAACACCTCGCAGCCACGATGAGGTGGTAAGCCGTTGGGAGGCATAACTAACAAGGCATAACTAGATGCAACCTTGCAATCGCTTAAAGAATTCTGGTTGCAAAAAAGCATAGCTGTTCACTTCAGCTTAATGAACGTCGGAGATCACCATTTACCAAATTGCTTTTATAATAAATATCTAGTTAAATGGCCATTCGCGAGGGTCACAGTGTTTCCCGGGTCTTCTCACCACCAAGATTGTTGAGGTCCACAAATTGTAATCTATTTCCTGGTCATGATTACATCTAATAGAGCTCATCAGAAATAAATATAACCACGGAATGCCTGGTAGATGTAAGAAGCGAAAAGTTCAATTTGGTAAAAATGTACATCATTCATTTATAATGTTCTTGTCAGCCTTAGATCATAAGTGATTCTACCTTTTTCCGTGCGTTCATGCTGATTTGTTGCATTTTGAAGGTTACTTCCCTTTATAAAGGACGAGTTCAACTTGAAGAAGGCTATAGGACTGTTTCCCACTGTTGAGAAAATGGCTGAATCTCCGAATGGCGTGCGCCTTAAACGAGCCCTTGCAGTTCGTTTTTATCATTACAGTAATTAATTTCCGATTCCATTCTTGTGTTTCCTTTCGATGTATAAGTTCGTTTGCGACGCCATCTTCCTCGATAACATCTGTAGTTCTGTGTTGTCCTGTTATCAACTGCTGGATGAGGTAGTGAGATATGGATTCAAGTTTGGCTTTGCGCGCTGGCGCTGGCTTGTAATCTGTTTTGAAAATAAGTCGTAGACAAAGTGCGAGTTATCACCTTTTAGACTTTGGACACAAATGATTGGCTTGCGAAAGCGGTGTCGTTTTGGTTGGATTGCGTGCCTGCAAAAGTGAAGAGATGGCTGGTTTCGTGGAATCTTAGTGGTGACTCAGTATGCTTTTGTCCAACGCAACTGTAGTAGTTCTGTCGAGTGGTGGAATGTACTGCAGTTTAGGTCTCTAACGATGTGATCGTCTCAGCAGCAGAACTCCTTAATATGAACGTCTTTCGAAATATTATTCACTTATCGCATGATGAATTGAATAAGGTAAGGACATTTTGTCATAATAGGCAAACTCACTATTTATGAGCTGCTTTTAATTCATGAAATTTTTTGGGTAACTGATTTCGACAGCTCACTGATTGTGTGCAAGGAGCTGCTTTACTTCTTTTACGGAAGAGCAGACGGATGGTGCCCTGAAGAGTTTGGTTTGTTTTGTTGAAAAAATTTTCGCCCAATCGTTTGTTATTACTTTAACTGGTTCATAACGGTTTTTCCCTGTCTTTTCTGTCGTACTAATTCGTCAAAGCTAACCCATAGTTGAAGCCGGTTAAACATGTTTCTCTAGGGTACCACATGAAGGAACGTTTACCACATGGCCATGTTGTGTTGGATGAAGACGGGTGTGAACACGCTTTTGTGATTCGGGATGGTGCCACCATTGCTGAGAAGCTCTTACAGTTCATCATATGAACTTGCTGAAGGGAATTTGTCACTGTTGTTTTGGTCATCAGGTGAAAAATTTGAGTCGTATGGGTGTTCGTATCGTACAGGCCAGAAAATATGCAGCAACTTATTGCTCACATATTCCTAACTAACTTTTCTCATTGAAGCTTTTCTACTAGCATTTCTCTTTTGATGAGTGATGGTGAAGGCTTCTAGCTGTTGGGCTCATTTATAAGTTTTGTCGCCAGTGCTTAACCGTTAAAGCTATTCATCACAAATAGATATGTCATTGTGTTGTGTATCCTTGCATCCTACATTCTAATTTAAGTTCGGTCATTTCCTTGTTTAGAATTGGTATGGCGCTATGTTTTATTGCTTCTGTGAAAATAATCCGCTATAGTTTGGCTCATGGATGTTTCAGTGAAACAAAAAAAAAGTCTCCGATATCTAACCGTTTCTATATTTAAATATAAGTGAAACAGTGCAAATCCAATATGGAACATGTTGTATTTAGTAAACAATTTATCAGCAACATAGTAGTCAGTGAAATGGAACGCGAGCTTTAGCGCTTGAACGTAGATGTCAACGCTAACGTTTCATCCTCATTGGAATTTGTTTGCCACTTATTAGAGGGAATTGGATATGATTCATTTGGAGTTGCTATAGGAAAATTGGACAAGCGTGAGTGAGCTACTGTAGTGCTAGCAACTTAGACGTCTTTGGGAGGCAATCCATCATAAATGTTGAGATCATGGATATAGTAACCGACTCTCCAGCATGACAACGCCTACCAGGGCATCGGAATCCGGGATGAAATTGGGCTATAGGAAGGAACGTCGTTGTGAAATTCTTAAGTAGTTTTCGTCATCATTTGTGCCTTTTCGGAAACTATTTTTTAAGTCCGACTTTTGGATCCATGTGGGAAATTAGTTTAATCAAAAAGATGCGACTTCCTTGATATCAAAGCAGAAAATTTTAGACTATTTAGGAGAAATCGTTTAAGTGGTGTCGATTATGCAATTGATTAAAACATTTGAATACTATGTCGGAAAAGAAGAATTTCATAGTTTAAAAAGGGTAGATACTCTGGTGGGTTGGGAAACTTCACCTGGTCTGCTAACTTGATAGAGACGGTAGATGATCCACGAAAAGTCAATTACAAACAAAGACAGCAAGATCAGAAAGTTTTGACTAATTATTGTAACATAACCACAATGGAGGAGGTGCGTGAAGCGCAGCGGTTGGGATAAGCAATATACATGGGATCGATCCCCGTGCCACAAGTTCGGCAACCCTTCCATCTCTCTATGGTCAGTAAATTGGTACCAGACTTGTCTGGAAAAGTATCAGCACTGGCGCGATACATCGGGAGGCTACTGCGAGTCATTTTAAAGACCAGTTATGCATTCAGTCACCTCCAACGGTACTTGATCAAGTCTAATACATGGTGCATTCCTCAGGGATTGATCAATTCCGAGAGGCTTACCCTTTAAAAGCGTTAAAGCCTTTAACTGCAATCGTGCTAAGATGTTTGAAAACTCAGACTTCAGGTTAGATTCGAAGGTATGATTGCCTCTTCCGTGTGCTCACGTGTTACCCAGTGCACCGGCTGAGGGCTTCGTTCTGCCATTCTTTCATCTAATTTTCACCCTAATGGGGCCATCTGTAATCACTCGTCAACAGGAATGATGTGGGGAGCACGCTGTGGCTGTGATCGAACTCATAATGTTACAAGTTATACATAGTGATTTCGAATACAGCCTTAGCTTAACTGGCTTTAATGCTGATTTGTGGTCACCAAATCATTCCCGTCGATGGGTGATTGCTGATGACAGCGTTAATTGGAAAACTGGCTCAGAATTCTTAAAATAGTTTGAAGCAGTTTTCTACTTGTACCAGTTAGAGAGGTTCAAAAACGAAGTCACTATCAGTTTCAGCAACCTTCGTCGATATTGTAATGAAGCAACGAAGAAAATGGATTTGAGGTGTTTATTATATGTAAAGTTGGAGTTCTACAAAAATGACTACATTTCTATGGCCATTGTCGGCGATTTCATCAACAAAATTGGCTCTAGGGAAACGTCTGAAGAACATCATATCAGCATCCATGGATTGGAATGGAATAAACAGGGTGGGAGCCTTCGTCACCAATATTAATAAGGAGTACGATCGCTAATCAGCCCCTTTAAGATAGGACTAGAAGACCGGGAATTTGAAAATTAGCAAGCAAGGTTTGCCTCCAGGAACATTCGAGATGATGCGAAAACATTTAAGTCGTAAAAATCACCTTATATCTTAATTTGCTATATTCTGAAGGGAAGTGTTGTAAGAAGACTTTAAGGCAAGAGGTATAGCACTACTGACTGAAGTTGCGGAAATTGGAGGGGCATTTGCAATGTCCGCTGACACTTTGATAATTACAAAATTAGGGAAATTGGTAGCATTCACGCCTTTTACTCCAGTCTCGTTACCCTTCGATTCCACCTCTTTCTATATCGTATAGGGAAGAATGAGCATTTGATCCTAGAGCTCCTTCCTTGCAAAAGTTTAGTATACTTCCTCGTCTTTGAACAATCGTGGAGCGCTTGGCCACTGATGAGGTTAGGCTCAAACACTATGAGAAACTATCAGTAGACTTCATTCACACAATCGCTTGTCAATTCACATGCCATTTGTCAGAATACAGGGCACTTTGACAATGGAATATTAGAAGAAACCTCTTGTTACACAAGGAAGACCTACACGACGGCGGCAACCATTGTCCGGTTATCCTGCAGTTTTTCGCTTAACGATTAGTTGTTCTTGTCAGGTTTGAAAGCACATTAGACGAAGGATAGCTATACATGCAAGCAAGGTTTAAGAAAAAGATCACTAGAATAGAGAGAAATCAAACAGTAAGATGTCCGTTTAAAGGTTCTATATTCTTTTAAGAAATGGGGATCACACAAGCACGGAGTAATCGAGTTTCCATACTCACCGTCTAAAAATTGCTTATGAGCTGCACAGAAAGTGCACAAGTAATAACTCTGCCATTTTATGACTACATCACTAGTGTCCTAATGTGAATGGATGTGTAGAACGAGACCATATCGCCGAAATTAGGCGCTAGTCTCGTCGCTTAGGCGAAAAGCGCTAGTCTCGACGACTTCATTAGCTGAGATGGGATAGCATGACAAGGAAAGTTGATGGCTGGTGGACTACGTTTATATTTTCCTTGTTGATGAGATCCTTATCCTTCTTATAGAATCAAACATTAGGCGGCAAACACAATTACTCTGCTTCTCTTCCACCACTTTCATTTCATGGCTTCCTCGCCTTGAAATATGTCTTAAGTGCCTCGAGCAAAGATGAAATTTTGTCAGTGTTGCTAAACGTGATATAGGAGGTGGTGGCGACGGACAGAAATGATGCTGGAAATATCTCATTTCACCCAAGTGAGAGAAGCAACTTGAAGTTTCGACTTACATCGACGACTAAAAATCAGGAACGCAATGGCACACGTCAAGATGTAGAAAATCAGGGGGATAAACCCGCGGTACGTCCTGGGACAAATGGTGAACATTAGTCATTAGTGAGTGAATTGCTTGTGCTTCTACTATTCGTCTACATTTTGTTCAACATACTCTGTCGTCCTACTTCTCTTGACACCGCTTGCAAGCTCTCTACGGTGACCTTCTCTCTTCTTATTTCAAATAGAAAACTAAGATGCGACTATACTTTTGTGTACAACGTCCTCGAATTCTCTCACATTTAGGTGTTTCATTCGCAGTGGAAATTGTACTATACCTTTCCTTTTCTCCATTGTTTTTCCAGCGAACGACCTAAAATACACCACTGAAGTCGACGAGAGTTACAACTTGCAGGACTTTTATACATGTCCAACAACTACCAAATATGGCTAGTAAATATTATAAATCGAACTCAACAAACGTCTCACATATGCATTTCATATTTGCTACTGTTCATTTTATTTCCCAGCTTCTCATCGATTTCATCTTCAGTTTCTCGAAATACACAGCAGAATGTTGTCTCATATAGAGGAAACGCTCGAATAATTTCTGTTCTCAGATATAATTTTCTTCACTATTCTTTGATACCTAACCTATCAAACACCTATCAAACAAACATAGAGCGACAACATATTACCTATCAAACATAGAGCGACTAGCTCCATTCTAATAGGTAAGGATACATTTATAGGAATTTAAACGTACAACAGATGATACCTGATCTCTTGTAATAATTGCGGAGATGAATATATTGGCGAAACGGGCAGACCTTTGTGTATCCGTATAAAAGAACACCTAGATGGCAAGCGAAAACTAAGACGAAGCACCCCACTAGGCACGCATAGGATACAAAAGCATAGCGGAGACGATTTTGAAGTGAAAGTCAATATCCTTGCACTGGAGCCCAAAACACCAGAACACGCGAAAACTTCTTGAGGCTTTTTGGATAAATGCCAAAAACCCTACAATGAATAGCAGGGACGAATGCCCGGAGGTCATACGCGACCTGATCCCGCATGTTCGCATCAATTTCTTCTGTGTCATGCAGCAATCAACTATATGCAACTGTAATCAGCTGTTCTAATCTTCCTCATTGGAAGTCACGTAAAAAAAAGCGGTGAGTTTTGCTAGAAGCTGCTGATCATGTAATTACCGGAGAGTTTTTCGTCTTTTCGTAAGTGTTATTGAAATGTTTGGCCTAGTAGATTGTATATCAGTATACCCTTCCGGGCTCTGAAGAGGGCGATACTGCCGAAACGCCAGCTGGCGTTATATTGTATTGTGTTTTTCTATGGAAGTAAATGTATGCTGTTTAACAACCTCGCGATTGAACAAGAAAACGACGCATTCATATTCGAATGCCGAGGTTAATAGAAAGTCGATCCTGGGAAGAGATGGTAGTTTTAGCAATGGCATGAAATGACCGTGAACGTTACTTCTTTAGCTGAGCAATTGTTAAAGCGCATGAGTTCAAGCAAAGTAGGAAAAAGCAACCAACTTTGTGGAACAATTTTTCAATTATTTCATGGATTCTTTATGATTGCCTAATCAGCACCCATGCATAATTCATGTTTTTTCAATCCCTTCACCTGTTTCATTTCTACCATTGCTCTTTTTGCAGTCCAAAGTTCCCGTGGGCGATCTCTTTCTATAGTAGAAGCGCCTAACGGCTTTCATTCTGTGATTGTGGGAAAGCGATGACATTTTCTTGGCATATTTTCATATCATTCATTCAGTTAGATGAATAACGCGTCGATTCGTACCGTCAAATTTCGAAGATGTTTGACAAAGAAGTATTTGATGCTCAGATAAATCGACATGAATCTTAATTCTGAAAACGTTTTGACGCCGTTGACATGTATCTTACTGTTTGTTTACACATCTTGCAACCGTAATGAGTAATGTAGTACTACGTAGGTTAGCCATAGACCTAAGCATAGTTGTGGTTCCGCCTAAGTGCATCGGTGACGATAGTTGAAGCCGTCGTTGTTGTTATATGGTAGTGAGTGGGTTTTATATTCTGCACGTCATAAATATTTGTCTTGCTATTTGTTATTATTTATTTTATTATTTATTATTATCAAAGGGACCGGATCAAATTGCCAACGGATAACATGCGTTGAAGTATCTATAGTGGAGAACATGCTATTAACTGGGATCGATATCACAAAAACTGAATAGGAAGCAATCCTCATTGGGATGGACAACAACAGTAGAAGTAAGACTACTTTCATCTGTTTTAAGTTTGTGGAAAACGGATCTAACTCATTCAATTAACACTCACGTTCCAAACCAACATTCTTCGTTTGTTTCATTACTGCTAGTGAATGACCACTTAAAAGTTACTTAGTTGTAAATGGTTTACCACTTTCGAATTCAGCCGAGTTGTTTTGCAATCGTCATTCATAGAGGTGGTCGGATCGGCGGACTTTTTCCTCAATGACCCGCTGAATCCTTGCTGAACGTAATTTTTCCTTGAAACCAGAGGTGGCCGATGTTGAATTTTCTCAGGTCGACACCCGTAGATTGTTGTCGGCGTCGACATCTCATTTCGGTCGAATGTTTGCTGCCTTTTCATTTATTTTCTTCTAGAACGATGTTTTCTTGAGAATTCAAATTATTCAAAACTGAAGTGAGCTCCAAAAACTCTAAATAACTCAGTGCCATGAAGTTATTGACTAGATTCTACGTCACCGTAAATGGAATTCCCTGTCGAACTTTAGCTCCAAACTAAAAAAAGAAAGAGCGATATTGTTGTAGTTGCTTGGAAAAAGTCAATATTATTGATAATTTCCCACATATAACTAGTACTGCATTAATTCCAACGGTGTTCTTCCTTTCATAAATTTCAATTCCATAGAATGAAAGAAGAATGAAAAGATTTTCGAGCGACATCAATCATTATCTACTATTGCTCAAACGATAATGCTAATGTTTAATATTATATTACTGTATAAGGTTTTTCGGAAGACCAAAGAAAATGGGCAATTCAATACAATGTTGTTTAGCGCTGGAGACTGCTTACCTTGACGTCATTTCACGATTTCCATTCAGTTCACGAAGTACTCATGAATTTCGACAGAATTCGTCCTTCACATGAAGGGCATTGCGGATGGTGTGAATAATTTTGCTAGATATTTAATTGCTAAACATTCCTAACGTACATTGAATCAACAAGAATTAATCATACCGTGGGTTTTATTAAGACGAAAGAAATGTTCTCAAAACAACAAAAAATACTGAATGATATTTGGACAAAACATATATATATACACACATATATACATATATATATATATATGTGAAAAAACAGAAATATCAGTAGAAGAGTATAAATTATAAAAGTTGCAATTGATGACGAACAAACGAACAATGAAGGATGAGAAGGCTATGACGTGCACCATACTAGGCAGAGAAACATCGGAAACCCGTGAACTGATGATAATGAAAAGAAGGCGTAGTTCTGATAAAGTGATTGCTAATCTTCTACTGCAAGAATGTTTCATTGAAAAAATGAAAACTATGTGATTTTAGACAACTTGTGGTGTAACACGAGGTCTTCTTGAGAAATCACGTTCTTTTCGTATGGCGCCGACATCCGGTTCAGTGAGGTATTCTCTGAAGCACATCCAGTGAATGTAGTTCAGCGGAAAAATTAGAGTGACAACAAGAAGTAAGAGAAGAGAGGAGCCATGTCGAAGGACACTCCATCACCATTATTATTATTAGTTGGTATTTCCTCATAACTGTTACCATTATTTCAATGTCGTTATTACTTCGTATAACACCCGATCTCAGATTCGCCTATGTACCCTCTAAAAGGCAGACTGTAATAGATGTTGTCTTCGTGACAACGCATTAAGAAAATAAAATGGGAATAAAAAAAACTATTTTACGAAACTTTTTATTTTTATTTTGTTTTATTTTATACGGCCCGCTCTCCATATATGCACTGCGGATCTCAGCACCTCTCACATTCGATTCGTTTCCTCGCATCCATCATCCACTAAGGGTTTCCAACTTTTGCGTGACTTCGGCTGCTGATTGAGGATTTTACTTTCATCTTGAATGATCGTCGAGTCGATTCTCCCTGGAGCCTCGGGATAGCCGGGCTGGAGCGTTCCCAAATGAAATAAAAAGAGTGATTTTCTCCCGGACAAGTCCGGTAGCTACTTCCTGATCTCCGAACGATGAAAGGCTTGGTGAGCGCGGAGCGGGATCGAACCAACACCATGGCACCATTGATTAAAAATCAATATTCTTCTCGGTAAAAAACCAAAAGTATGTTATAAAATTATTCACATCCTGTTATTATTGCTAATTGCCTATTTCTTCTGCTGTTCCCTTCGTACCCCCAAACGCTTTTTCAACTTTCAACGAACTCTCTAAGTTGTTATCCTCATACTTTATTGATAACAAATTATATGTATAGATGGAAATATCATATTCTAAAATTGTGCTCGATTACCACTGATTGTTGAAGACAGACGAGAATATTGAAAGTTCTAAAACTCTTGGCGTTGACCAATCCCCAATGGATGCGCCTTGCATTCGACTTCATCAAGCATCGTTAGAGGTGAATGAATATATCTGGCCTTTACAATGACTCGCGTTGTTCTGCAGATCTATCCAGTCAGTGCTGCTATCCTCCGAGACAGTTTTGATAGCAATTTACTAACTTCGAAGAGATGGAAGGCTTAGTGAGCTTGGGACGTGGGATGGAACCAAAGACCATGTGTATGTCGCAGGGTACCTTTAACCACTGTGCTACACTCGTCCCATTATGCTTAGGAAATGTTGTCTAAGCCTGAATTTTTTTCGCATTTCGTTAGTTACTAGAGTTTATTAGAAATGACAGTAACAATTACACTCTATATTACATAAAAGTTAAGCTTTTGGATGCAGCGAGGTTTACTAATGGAATAAAGAATTTGTCACCAACCGAAATTCGCCATCATCAGCTGGATTTAGTGCATCCTTAGACGATCCACGGCTACTAACTGGTTGTCGACAACAATACGAACAACAAAAACACAGAGTTATAAAGAATACTATTGATATCGTGATCACACCAAGTACTAGTAATGTCATATAGAATGAATTCGCCTTTATAGATCCAAGCATTGACACCTAAAGAACGTATTCTTTGCAGTCTTGACATGCATTTATTAATGTGAGAATGAGACTCCCTGAGCCTAAACTATGTATGCTGAAGTCTTTGACGCCAATAGTGCGTTACATAAAAAATTAATACAATTCTTCTCCATTACATTGGATTCTATTTGATTTGTATGTTGAGGTACGATATTGTTCTATGATGAACAACAACATCAACGACATCAGAGATCTCATATTTTACCTTTGGTGGTCGAAGTTTTACACAGTTGTACATTTCAATATTACGACTTTCCAAATAGACATTAGTAATAGTACATGGTAATTCACATAGTTCCAAGCATTGTGTACGATTTGGAAATGTATGCGTCACTGAATGATAGCGATAATGTTGTGCTAAAATAGAAGCTATCAGATACTGATACTTAATGAGTGATACGTACCTGATCTAGGATACGAAGCAATTGTTTGTTCATCCACACTATAATCTCGTGTTCCATAATCTTTCGCATAACGATCATCGTATGCTAATGAAGAAGTGACAAAAAGCCAGAGTAGGCCGAATCGTTTCATTCTGAAAGGAAAACAATGGTTATGAACATTCATAATATGGAAGATGATGTTTTGTTTTGTAAACTGGAATGACGTTCTAATAAAATATAAACTGTAAACAATATGCTGTGAATGGAAAGAAAGTAGAAAATAACAACAAAAAATGAACACATGGCCTGGGTTGCATTGGCCGAAATCCATCTGTCTTCAAGAATATCATGGATTTAAATTCTATTTTAATACGGAATATTAGGTAGAATTTAGAACATCGTTATGATTCCACTGTTTAGAAAGGTTTGTTATAAACGGTGAACAAGCGACGATCATAACGAGGCCACTTTTCATGGTGACGACAAGTCTTAGAGGGTGATTTTGGTGGCTGAAGCTTACTAAATAATGCATCATCTGCGCTGTTCCTTGTTCTGGCATATGCATTAACTAGTAAAACTAAGCCAAGATCGTATGGAAAAGCTCAGGTGATATTTGTGAGAAACTAAGAAACACAATATTATTATATGGTGGGTTAAAAATAGAAATGACAAAATTCTACAATGTAATAATATGATCACTGCAATCACTTAAACATGTTTCATTCAGGTGAATGAGCAATAGATGACAGAACACCTGTGTTCATGTCACTCATATTATGTCAGAGCTATGATAGCTATGTCAGATGAATCCGCTCCTCCATCACTCCTTCAATTCATCCCTTTCTCCCTCGTTCTCTGTCATTCTTCCTTTCTTTAAATAACGCATCAACGTGTGACCTGATCTGTGACATACATCCTGTTGATATCGTCTACCGCTAAATATTATACATTACTAGTAATTTCAAAGCAATCTACATTAAGTACACTGAATTTTTGCAATAGCCCAAAACGCTATTAAAGGAAAAATAAGGATTAGCTGGGCAATCCTGAAATTGTGAATAGTATTCTAATTCCACCATTATCGTTTCTGTTCCACGTAGGCAAATTCTTTGTCACATGATATAAACATGTTACTAGTAGTATGAGCTGGTAATATGATGTAAAACAATGTATGAAAGAAAAACATAAATATCAATGAAATCAATAACGGATGCTCAACTCTATGCGAGTATTGATTAGTAGTAAAAATGCAGTTACGGTCTCTCCTTATCACAAACACCCGCAGTTATTCAACGGTACTGAATGGACATATTGATATGTACTAAGTAGTACAAGAAATAACGATCGTTACTTCAGATTTATCAAAAGAATCGATAAAAAGACGCTATGAATCAGAGCCGAGAAACGAACGAAGTATGATGTAGCATTGCTTTGATATATGTCATTCATTATTTAGTTCTCATGTTTTCAAGTGAACAAATTGGATTATGTCTCGACTTAAACAGCTCTTTTCCGATGGTTGTGACCAAAAATAGTTACGAAACTAATTATGATTATTAGAGTTATGAAATGAGTAGCAAGCGCTCTGTCGACATATACAACGACACGACTTACACGAAGGTCGTATGCAGCGAAGAATAAAATTCCAAGCAAAGGAAAGAAAAGAAAAAAAGAAAAAGAACGGGAATATTTTTTATGATTTTCAATTGCATAGAAAGAAGGTGATCTCGTCGTTCTGTCTGAATATGTTTCGTTGCCAATGAAATTGATACATCGTGAGAAACGTAGCCGCCTATACTATGATGAATTGTTTCAGATGGTAAGAAACAATTCCATACTTGCTAGTAAAATTTAAAATGTTAGCAGCGCATTAGTGATAGTGTGGAATCGTCAGAGAAGTGAAGAAAAAAACAATGGCAACGTATATAACGTCTTTTTTCTCGTTTATTATCGGCTAGTGATATGAGTGTAGTGTCACCTCAGTATGTATTTACATACGACACGGGTCAGTGAGAAAACTTGGGTAACGGCCCAAGTCGAGCTCCGTTCCATACATAGCTGGTTGGCTGACCGACCGACAGGATGACTGACTGATTGAGTGACCGAAGAGACGGCAAATACAATAGATAGATAAACGCTCCTCATATTGAAGGACACTTCTCTTTCTCAGCCACTCATCCAAGTTCAATGAGTAGCGTGACCGTTTCTGTTCACACATTGATGATTTCACCTTATTAGATATTCTGTTAAATAGCCAATAATTCAATATCTTTTAAAGTCAAGGCTTTTCTTAAGCCAAAATCTGGAATGAAAACCAAAAACAAAAAGAAAAAAAACCGGTTAACGGAAGCAGGGCAACTATCACAAGTGCTTTCTTTATCTGTCTTCTAGGAAGTAAATTCACTTGAAGAGAGATTAGCTGAAAAACACAAGGCTAACGTGTTCATAGCAATTAGCACATCATCTCATTCAGTGATTGAAGGAAAACTTTACAGATTTTGTTGCCAAGTAAACGTTCTCATAAAGTGACCACATAGAAAATAGCTCAGCTTTTCACACCACTTTTTTCTACCTTCGGGATAATAATGTTAATGCTTTGCTAATTTTGATTTTGATTTTTATTGATTGATCTGATTGGTTTTGCTAATTGATATTTCCTCCTATATTGTTAATAGAATATATTGGTTGTACTTTCATAAAACAGTCACCACTATAACGAGTAAAGATGATGACAAAGGCAAAATTGCAATCGTTAAATTAGGAGAAAACATCTATTCATGTTCGTCTTCATGAAGAATCGCTCTGTAATGTCTAACACCAGTTGTTGAGGATTTTACTACTCATAGATCTTTACTAAAACATTTGCTTAACGGGTACTTCTGGAAAAAACCGGATCTAGGAAAAAATATGGAAAGACAGATTTGAGACATGTACCATGGGTAATTGCACATGATGTCGTACTAACTTGCCAACGATTAGTGGTAAAGCATTGAGAAGCATTCTAAGTGATCTACATTGAAAGCATACACACATACATATATACGGCACCTTTAACAATGTATATATGTACATATATATACATGTACGTGTAAACACACATACATACAAATACCCACATATATATTGTCACTGACAGCTACAAAACGTTAATTGTCAAGTAACGTTGCTCACGATAATAACACGTAACACTTCTCACCCATTCATACATCCTCGTTAATAGACTCTTATCAGCTTATGAATACTTTGGAAAAAGTCATGAGAAGAAAGAGAAATAGATAAGATATTGACTATTGATAAGAGAAACCATTTGTAAGAATGTGGGAAAAAATAAAATAAAATGAACAAAAAAAAATAAAATGAACGAAGCATGTGCACTTTGACGACATATACTAAAATGACTTCTTTAATATCAGAGTCAGGTGTTAAGGGTAACAAATCATTCTATAGGAAAATGCTTCCTAGTAATTTTTCTTTACTACTAGTTCCCTTTTATTTTTCTAGGTGAATAAGATTGAATTACAACAAGTGAGTAGGATCTTCATGTTTCCGTTCGATAGAGAAATTACGCCAAGAACATGGATTTGGTAACAGCTACATGTTCACAGGACAATGGGGACAATAGGCCTGATACAAACAATGCACGGAGACCTTGGCATGCCTATACGTTCGAGTGAGTTATGAATGTGAGTGTGTGTATGGTGTGGTGTAGGTATGTAGCCCAATGACGAGTAGGCGTGGCAAGACACACATGGGAGTTCTGAAGGCGACGGCGGCCTCAGCGCCAGTGACCGTCGGCCAGGAACGGATCCTTGTCGGAAGCATGTAGACATTCTTTTAACAATGTTTTTTGTCGGTACTATAAACATACCGACACAATACTACAGGCCTAAGACCAGTGTCTGTATATCATTCCAGGGTCTTTGAGGACTTCATTTGCCGCATTTGGCACCACGATATCATGTATATGGATCGGTGCCATATAATGCATAGATCTGTGCATATGTGCTAAACATGTACGAAATCCAGAAGATACGCTGAAATATTTGGCGGTAGAACTCTATGTTAACGTTTTCTAAGACTGAACATCGTTGAAATGGAAAAAGTACAACATGAATTTTAAAAAATGGAAATGACGAAAACGAAGATTTAATAGTGACAATATAACAGATAAAGCTAGTAAATACTACGACACTGTTAAAAATCGTACAGGCCTACGTCAGCGATTCTAAATAGCGGATGGATTGCTGGCCGAGGAAAGGTATTTTTTTTCGGAATGCTGAGACAGCCGTACCACGGCGTGACCCCCATGATCGGAGCGATGACGATTGCTTCTTTTGCGACTGGCATTTCGCCAAAAAGACAGGGATTGCTGGCAATAGTTTTTCTATTAGCTGGATTTTCAAAAATATCGAAACATGTCGTTTTAGACTTAAGAGGTAACCTTAGTGAAAAATGAACTCCTCGTTGCACATCAAGGTTGAAAGCTCGGAACCAACCAGTCCAATTAAATTTGCGTGCAGCTTGATCTAAACGACGTTCACAGATTTCTTGACGCACTGGGATTAAGATGATGAATTCCTTCGGATTCGTCTTTGCCAAGCCAGCTTTTTCTTTCTGCATTCTTTTTTCTATTTTCTACCATAGTGGTACTCATGTACATGTTGAACGGTCAAGCCGATGTATGCACGTGGTATTCTGTGCATCATTTCGTCAAGATACTATGAAAATAATGGCGCATGTGGGGCAGAGGTTGGAGGCGCCACTGTGCCACACACGTGGAATTGATCCACGCTCCCATGGCCGACCAAGCCTTCCATCTCTCCGGGGTAGGCAAACTGGCATTAGACTTGCCTGAGATGTTGGCAGCGATGACTCGATGTATCGGTAGGCCTCCGCGATAAAGGTCAGATATGCATTCAGACACCTCCAACGATATTAATGAAGTCGAATGCATGGCATATCCCTCAGGGATTTATCAACGCCGAAAGCTTTGTTTTAGAGCTTTTACTCTGATAATTTGATTGGAAAGTACATGAGAACATATTCTTGATCACCACCCAACAAATAAGCCACATGTTTCCATTAGGAGATCCTGACAAAGTGCTCCGTCAGAAGCACAGATTTCTCACGGTATACCCAGCTGACCTACCT